ATGTATGATAAAAATGTTTATTTAAATCAAGTAGTTTAGTATTTAAAATATCAATTTTGTTTGGGGTTAATTAATTTGAAATGTAATAATTTTTTTCAAACTTTGTATTATTTTTGGGAATTTCTTGACATAATAAGAATATTTCTTAAATCATTTATTGCCCAAAAATTTCCATATTTTTTCATACATTTAAATATTATTTTTATTTTTGTCAAATTTTTTTGTGACTGTATTTTGTATAATATATTATCTGCTGTTATTTATAACAGGTTGGTAGTTGCATCGCGGGAGGAGTGTAGGTTAAATATATATACTAACCTCGAGTGTTAAAAGCATACTGATTTTATTGTATTGAAAATTCCGAATGGCCAAATGTGATAACACATCATAATTACATAACCATTATTGTAGATATATAGTCAGTATTATAGCCATGTAACAGTAAACTTATGAAGAGTCTTAGAAATCCCTTACTTGATTTCTATCAATTGTAAAATATATATCAAATTTGGAGATAAGTTAAATTTGTTATCACTACTTTTTTAAATTGTATAGAATCAGGATTGCTTAAGAAATTAGATGTTGTTACAAATTTTTCGATTAAAAAATACATCTCACACCTTCCTGCCTTCTTGGGCCAATATTTCCCCAGCCCGCCTCTGATTAAACAGATTAATTATTTTATGTTCTTTGGTAGATTATTTAAATCTAAATTTGACTGAGAAGTTTCTGAGAATAATGTATATATTACGGTTAATATTCCTAAAAATTGTTTAGCATACAAAATTATAAAATAAATCATATATTATAATTAGATATAGGTAGATATATTTTAAATACTTTGACAATTTTTACAAATTATAAAATGTTAGTAGATGTATCTACATGTTTTATTATATTAAGTTATGTTTTAGTGTCAAAGGAAATTTAGTAGGGCCTTACTGTTTTAGTCACCTTGGTGCCCAGCCATAATAAAAACATAAGATTTAAGAGTATAATTTGTAAACATATTTTTAAATATAATGTAAATTACATTTTAAGGTTTATGGTATCTATTCTAACCAACATCAAAGAATACATTACGCCGGTCCTATCTATACATAAATAATAGCACTAGAGCTAAGCTATAAAATTTATCAATTTTCAATATTGAATATTTTATTGTTTTATTGACATTAGATAAAATAAATATTAAGGAACTAATATTTAATATTTTCAAACATATTATATTTGCAATTTTCTGTATCTCAATAACATTTATTTTTTTTAAATCATTTGTTTTTAATTTTGTAATGTTGTWATGTTTTAACCGACGACGCCGCGGGATCTGCTTTCGCATTGCTTCCGCGGCGCCGCCATCGTTTATTGACAGTATCAAATATTAATTACAATGTTGTGTAATTACCTAMMTATGTCAATATTAACATATTATATATACAGGGTGATTCTTTTAAGTGGGTACACTAATTATCTCGAAAAGTATTTACTTTTTTCAAAATATTTTTT